TCTGATCCCTTTCAAAATTCCATTTTATTTAGTTCTGCCCATTGTTTTCTCGTTTAGGGCACCCGCTTTTTATTACTTGGAGACCATACGCCGCTTTTGGAATGGCACGGAAGTGTCACATTGAAGGTTCCATGATAACCGCCGTATGAACACATCTGCGGATGTTTCTAAATTCAAAATTTTACTATTTTATGTTTAAATGTTGAATTCTGCTTAAGCCGGTGCTAGGGGGCGTGGACGGTAACTTGCACTTTCCAGTACCGTCCATGAACAGGCTCAATCAAACCGAGCCTGCAACATTTTCAATTTTGCCGTATTTGGCTTTCTTTAGGGATTCTGTAGATATCTATTTTATGTTTACACCTTTTGACTATTAACATCCCTCTGTAGCATGCTCACTTGCTTGTAACATAGCTAGAAGGGTGGTGGTTTGGCACATAGCCATATTAGTCATTAACCAGGCAACCAAGTGCCAAATGGACCTGGGGGTTCAGAAGTTAAACTGTACAATTAATACAGCATATTCATTTTTGTTATATAATCTATACTCTAGGACCTTTCCTGTGGTTATATTTAATGAAAATATGATAAACAAGATCAACAAGGAAAAAATTCTGGAAACAAAGTGATCCCTCGGAAGCATTAATCACAACATAATAACATAAGAATTGCAGACTCGGTTTGATTGAGTCTGTACATGAGGGATAATGAATAAGTGCAACATCCCTCACGCCCCCTAGCACCGGCTTGAGCGGTACTCAATTCTCAACACTTTATAGTGTTGGCATCAATGATCCCGAAGGACCAGAAAATATAACAACACTGAAGTGAAGTACGGGGCAACTTTTTACGGCTGCCACACAGCACTTGACACCTGCTGTTGTGAAGTACAAAATTCTGGAAACAAAGTGATCCCTCGGAAGCATTAATCACAACATAATAACATAAGAATTGCAGACTCGGTTTGATTGAGTCTGTACATGAGGGATAATGAATAAGTGCAACATCCCTCACGCCCCCTAGCACCGGCTTGAGCGGTACTCAATTCTCAACACTTTATAGTGTTGGCATCAATGATCCCGAAGGACCAGAAAATATAACAACACTGAAGTGAAGTACGGGGCAACTTTTTACGGCTGCCACACAGCACTTGACACCTGCTGTTGTGAAGTACAAAATTCTGGAAACAAAGTGATCCCTCGGAAGCATTAATCACAACATAATAACATAAGAATTGCAGACTCGGTTTGATTGAGTCTGTACATGAGGATAATGAATAAGTGCAACATCCCTCACGCCCCCTAGCACCGGCTTGAGCGGTACTCAATTCTCAACACTTTATAGTGTTGGCATCAATGATCCCGAAGGACCAGAAAATATAACAACACTGAAGTGAAGTACGGGGCAACTTTTTACGGCTGCCACACAGCACTTGACACCTGCTGTTGTGAAGTACAAAATTCTGGAAACAAAGTGATCCCTCGGAAGCATTAATCACAACATAATAACATAAGAATTGCAGATTCGGTTTGATTGAGTCTGTACATAAGGGATAATGAAAAAGTGCAACATCCCTCACGCTCCCTAGCACCGGCTTGAGCGGTACTCAATTCTCAACACTTAAAAGTGTTGGAATCAATGATCCCGAAGGACCAGAAATATATAACAACACTGAAGTGAAGTACGGGGCAACTTTTTACGGCTGCCACACAGCACTTGACACCTGCTGTTGTGAAGTACAAAATTCTGGAAACAAAGTGATCCCTCGGAAGCATTAATCACAACATAATAACATAAGAATTGCAGACTCGGTTTGATTGAGTCTGTACATGAGGGATAATGAATAAGTGCAACATCCCTCACGCCCCCTAGCACCGGCTTGAGCGGTACTCAATTCTCAACACTTTATAGTGTTGGCATCAATGATCCCGAAGGCGGCGTTCAATGAACGCAACCCCCACATGACACAGCAACAAGAACCAACGGCAAGGAGCCCAGGCGGACCCCAAACAAAAACAAGACAGGGCAGAGTTATGACTTTTATACTTCAAAAACTCTGAGATACCTATTATTTGCTATAAATATAAGAAACCTGTTAGAAATATCATATTTAATTACAACAAAGTGGTCTCTGACTTAGACATTCAGTCTAATACTCCAACTACTTGAGACTGCAATACTTCTAATTTCTGTAATTCAGATTTTGGCCATATTATCACTGGCAATTTTGATATTATTGCAGACAAAAGAATTCGTAATTTATTCTTAAAAGGACCTAAATACAGAATTCCCTCAGAAATTGATTTTAATGCTTGTCGTTGTCAGATTGCTGAAACAATTGAGGATTTTTCAAGTAAATGGTGTCGCCGTGAAAATGCTGATAGTAATGCTCTAGCTACTTGGAAACGTAACATTTTCAAAATTATTGATTCACGTATTAATTTTTATCGTGGAAATGAACATCTTCTTCCACCTAAACCGAGACTTACTTTAAGACATCTGAAAAAGGATATTCTAGCTTTTCACTCAAAATTTGTTTTGGTACCAGCGGACAAGGCGGCTAATAATATCATAATTGTATGACGTATCCATTACATTAACGTTTTACATAAAGAACTTAATAGCACTAATGCGTATTCTAAAACTACTGCTTCTGAAAAAGACATTGTTAACAATCATGTTACTAATATTTCCAGTCTTAAAGTCCGAATCGATGAAAAAGAACTAAAACTTCCTATTATGTATTGGATTCCTAAATTACATAAAAATCCTTACAAAGCCAGATTCATTGCTAATTCTACATCTAGCACAACAACTAAACTTTCTATTTTATTGACGTCTTGTTTGACTGCCATTAAAACACATGTAATTAGATACTGTGATAAAGTATACGAAAATACAGGCAAACATCTATTTTGGTCCATTAAGAATTCCGGTGAAATTCTGGATAAATTAAAAATTAAGAACTATCGGGCTTCGACTGTCAGTACATACGATTTTTCTACCCTTTATACTACACTGCCACATAATTTAATTAATGATAAACTAATTTCCCTTATTCAGAAAACCTTTGCACGGGAAAAAGTTACATTTCTTGCATGTAACTCTCAAAAAGCCTTCTTTACAAACTGTATTGTTAAACAATATACTATGTGGACCTGTGACGAAGTTTGTAGAGCACTCTCTTTTCTTTTAGACAATATTTATGTCAGGTTTGGTAATACCCTATTCAAACAAATTATAGGAATTCCTATGGGTACTAATTGTGCACCCCTGGTCGCCGATTTGTTTTTTTATTGCTATGAAAGAGATTTTATGTTAAGTCTCTCTGAAAATACACAACAAGATGTTATATCAGCATTTAATAACACTTCCAGATATCTTGATGACATTTTTAATTTAGATAATTCGTTTTTTGATCAAATGGTGTCTAATATTTATCCTACGGAGCTACAACTTAATAAAACGAATTCTTGAAATTTAACTACATCATTTTTGGATCTTCATATCACTATCAAAAACAATTCGATTCACACGAAAATTTATGATAAAAGAGATGACTTTGATTTTAGTATAGTAAATTATCCTCATTTGGATGGAGACGTACCGCACGCAACATCTTACGGAGTTTATATATCTCAGTTAATTAGATTTGCTAGAGCTTGTAGCGACGTAAAGGATTTTAACGAGCGAAATATTTTCATTACCGGTAAGCTATTAAAACAGGGCTACCGCTATTATAAATTACGTAAATATTTTACAAAATTTTACAATCGTAACTTTGATTTAATTTCTAAATTCAATAGTGATCTAAAAACACTTCTGCGACAAGGGATTAGCCAGCCTGATTTTTACGGTGATGTTGTTTACAAACTTCGTAAGATCTTGGGTCATTGTCATTTTTCTGTTGTGTTTACTAAAATTATAAAACGTTTTATTAAAAGGGGTTATGACCCTACTATCTTAAGACATACCACATGCTTAGTGTTCAACCCATTTACAGTTGGACACTACGCTTTCCTCTTTTGATTACATCTGACGGGCCAAGTGGGAGACTATATGATGGACAGTTCTTAAAGCCCTTTGGGACTGAATTGCCTTAATGTTTGTCTTCTGTCTTGCTTCGTCGGGCCCTTGTAGGTGATTTTCTTGTTGCTCTGTCTTCCTTTAAGACATCGAGTACTTTTGTTATGGTCATTGGGTTTACTTTTATATGTTTCTACATGATCATTTTGGTGTTTTACTTATTTAACCTTTTGTAACCATAACAACTGTTAGAATTTCACTTGGCGGGGATTCATTTTATTTACACTGTCTCGTTTATAGGAACATGGTGGGGCTAAGAGCGAGGTTTGGTGCACCATTAACCGGTTTAAACTCCCCAGTAGTCATTATTATGCTGCTGACCGTTCCAAGGCGGCGCCCCTCTGTGTTCCTCAGATGTATGTCTATGTTGTTTTTATACTGATTTGGTGACACTTTTGCTCGTGTCTCTTGTTGTTTCTCGTCTACGGTAAGTATCTTCCCTTGTCCCTAGTTTTTATTTATTTTATTCCCCCCCCCTTCCCCGTGTCTCATGTCCCCTTCCCCTGTGCCTTTTGACATAATGGGCCTTATATTAAATCATTTATTTGTTTTGTTTTAGTTCCTTATAAGTTACTAATTATGTATTCTGATGTAGTGGTTTGCCTGCCCGTACTCTGCCTTGTGCCCTGTCCTGTTTTTCTTTGGAGTCCTCCTGGGCTCCTTGCCGCTGACGCTTGTTGCTTGGTCGGATGGGGGCTGCGTTCATTGAATGCCGCCTTTCCTTGTCGATCTTGTTTATCATATTTGAATGGCCTTTCCGTAAAATATGTGCTGTTTCACTGACATCTTGTAATACGAATATATCATCAGTTTCCTTCTGGTATGGTTTTCCTTTACTTTCTTTTCCTTTTTTTTCAGTATTGACCTTTTTTCTTCAGATTTTCCTTTCTTTTTGCCATGTTTTGCCCCTTTGCTCTTCATTGACTTTCTAGGTATGTTGGCTGTCCTTTTGCTTGTAATTTTTCTATCAGTTTTTTCCCTTTCTCTCCAGGAAGAAGGCAGTGATCCTTCCATGCACCTACCATATGTTATGTAGTGATTACCCTGACAGTGTACACAGTAACAGCTAAGCTCGCGTACTTCAACATGTCCTGATTCAATGGTACCTCTAGCACTATGGATGCTACGAGTTCCAACTAATGCTTTCAATGCTTTTGGTTCAGGCCTTTCTATGCGTTCAACATAAAAATACACGTTTTTTTGTGGACACAATCCTCAGTAATATTACTTTTTCCTTTCTGGAGATATTTCTGGCAATAATCAAAGAATTCCTTTGGTGTTCTAATAACACCCTGTCGACCTTTCACAAATGTCTCTGCAGACTTCTTCACAACTCCTCCAACTCCATCACAAGGTCCCTTTCCATGGCGTGATCCAAAATACGCACGCTCAAAATTTGAACCATGTTTTGACAGGAAGTAAAATGGCAATTTTGACTTATACTGAGAAGCACATCCATCTGAAAAAAGTACCTCCTTTTCAATTTCCATCCCTGTTTCCTTCAGATATTCTTCATATGATCTAGTAAACTGTTCATCTGCATATGCATCATGTACCAGGTCTCCACTAATGAAAACTGCCGATTCACACACAATATCTTCACATTTGTCACATCTGTAATATGCTACAATAGGATGAATCGTAACCTGCTGGTACTGGTAGTAAGCACTCTGTATCTCATCCTGATGACAGCAGCGATAGTTCTCTGCAAAGTCAGCAACCATTACCAACCACTTGCTTGGCACTTGTTTTGTCAACTGTGAGAACCATCTGTACTGCCATTGAGCAACAAAGATATGTCTAGCCAGTTTGTCTACTTCTACACACAGTTCAGTAAATAAATCTTGTACAGATCCAGTGTGGTTCAGCAGCATTGGTCTTCTCTTTCGATTTAGTTCACCAATACCCCATCTATTACATTCATATACTAGAAAATGAGTTTTTAGACTGGAGACCCCACATTCATTGCAATTTCGTTTAACACATTCAGGATTATGGTATTCATTGTTCGATTTACATAAAGTCAGGCTAGTCACTTCATATTTGTTGTTTAGTTTCAGATCTTCTCTTCCCATTGCGGTTACTATTAATTCATTTTCTCTAATTTGTACTGAACATTCAGGCAGTACTCACATACTCACACAACAAAACGAACTCTTGAAATTTTAGTACATCATTTTTGGATCTTCATATTACTATCAACAACAATTCTATTCACACGAAAATTTATGATAAAAGAGATGACTTTGACTTTTGTATAGTTAATTATCCACATTTGGATGGAGACGTACCCCATGCAACATCCTACGGGGTTTATGTTTCTCAGTTAATTAGATTCGCTAGAGCTTGTAACAACGTAAAGGATTTCAACGAGCGGAATATTTTTATTACCAGCAAGCTTCTAAAACAGGGCTACCGCTATCATAAATTACGGAAATATTTTACTAAATTTTACAATCGTAACTTTGATTTAATTTCTAAATTCAATAGTGATTTAAAACTCTTCTGCGACAAGGGATTAGCCAGCCTGCTTTTTATGGCGATGTGGTTTACAAACTTCGTAAGATTTTGGGTCATGGTAATTTTTCTGCTGTTTTTACTAAAATTATTAAACGTTTTATTAAAAGAGATTATGACCCTACTATTTTAAGACATACTGCATGTTTAGTGTTCAACCCTTTTACAGTTGGACACTACGCTTTCCTCTTTTGATTGCATCTGACGGACCAAGTGGAGACTCTATGATGGATAGTTCGTAAAAGCCCTTTGGGACTGAATTGTCTTAATGTTCGTCTTCTGCCTTGCTTCGTCGGGCCCTTGTATGTGATTTTCTTGTTGCTCTGTCTTCCTTTAGGACATTGAGTACTTTTGTTATGGTCATTGGGTTTACTTTTATATGTTTCTACATGATCATTTTAGTGTTTTACTTATTTAACCTTTTGTAACCATGACAACTGTTAGAATTTCACTTGGCGGGGATTCATTTTATTTACACTGTCTCGTTTATAGGAACATGGGTGGGGCTAAGAGCGAGGTTTGGTGCACCATTAACCGGTTTAAACTCCCCAGCAGTCATTATTATGCTGCTGACCGTTCCAAGGCGGCGCCCCACTGTGTTCCTCAGATGTTGTTTCATACTGTTTTGGTGACACTTTTGCTTGTGTCCCTTGTTGTTTTCTCGTCTACGGTAAGTATCTTCCCCATTGCCTCTAGTTTTTATTTCTTTGATTAACCCCCCCCCCCTTCCCCCGGTCTCCTGTCCCCTTCCCCTTTGTGGGCCTATTATTATTTTCTTTGAATTCCTAATCAGTTACAAATTATTTATCATTTAATGATTAACGTGTCGTTGCCCTGTCCTTTTTATGTTTGGGGTCCGCCTGGGCTCCTTGCCATTGGTTCTTGTTGCTGGGTCATATGGGGGTTGCGTTCATTGAACGCCGCCTTTCCTTGTTGATCTTGTTTTTCATATTTTCTGTCTACTCACAGTGACCACCTCTTTTGGTCTAAGTTTCTGGAATTTACTCAAAGAAACTGTGCTATTTGGATACTTTTTCAGGTACCTGGCGTGCGCTTGTCTCAGTGTCTGACCAATAAGTCGTTTTGACAATATAATAGATAAATACAGAATCCCTTTCTTTATATTTGTTTCGTCGTTGTTCAAGCTCTCTCCTTTTAGCCTGCCCGCTCATTTTAGCTCTCTGTTCTTGCTTTTTCAACCTCCAAAAAATAGATAAATACAGAATCCCTAAAGAAAGCCCAACACGGCAAAATTAAAAATGTTGCAGGCTTAGTTCCTTATAAGTTACTAATTATGTATTCTGATGTAGTGGTTTGCCTGCCCGTACTCTGCCTTGTGCCCTGTCCTGTTTTTCTTTGGAGTCCTCCTGGGCTCCTTGCCGCTGACGCTTGTTGCTGGGTCGGATGGGGGCTGCGTTCATTGAATGCCGCCTTTCCTTGTCGATCTTGTTTATCATATTTGATTGAGCCTGTTCATGGACGGTACTGGAAAGTGCAAGTTACCGTCCACGCCCCCTAGCACCGGCTTAAGCAGAATTCAACATTTAAATATGAAATAGTAAAATTTTGAATTTAGAAACATCCAATACTCCCTTTCCTTTTCAGCAGATTTCCTTGATTTCACTTTTTTAGGTTCATTTGCTTTCCTTTCACGCATTTTGCGCATTGTTTATTTAGTCTTTTCGTTGTATTTCTTCCTTTCGTCAATGGACATTGATGCCCTGTATAATCTACACCGTATTCTATCCATTTATAACGTTTATATGCTTCAGAGTTGGCTCTCAACTTTGTCATCCACTTATGCTTTTTTCCCATTGCAGCTGTCATGTTTGATTGTTTCTCTGGAGGTTGTTTCTCTAGAGGTTCTTCCTTCCTTCTCCTTAACTTATATGGCCTCTGAAAACAATATAATACTTAGATTACAAGGCAATAAAGTATTACAAGCAATACTTAAGTCCTCTACTGGTTACAACCCAACAAGAAGCATGTAAGTATTTTGCCCTGTGGAAGACGTGAAAGAACTGATTGATTTCTTAATATGTAAATCTTCTGGACTTGCCTGTATCATCCTAGTGGGTCGAAGGCACATTATGCCCCAGAAACAAATAAATTATTAAATCTTCAAAAAGGGCTAACATGTATTCTAAGTCAATATCTGTACTCAATTATACTATAGTGATGTAACATATGGCCAAATGGTATCCGTACATTTTGCCATTGTTAAATAGCCTACATTTACATGTTTCCATACATAAAATTTATACACGCAATGACCTCTTACAAGTGACTAGCCGCTCTTCAAAAGAATCTGTCCATCTTTGATACATGTTTACACACATTGTAGTCCCTGTGTAATCTGAATCATCATAGTAGCGCCAACACTCAATTGTCTTTCACTATATTTTTTACTAAAGATCACTGAACATACTTCTAACTTAATAATTTATAGGTGGTGGGGGGGGGGGCAAATGTCCTAGAATCTGCCAAATTACAATAATATACATTATGTGATATTTAACAGGAAAAACAATGACCATACAGGCATATAGATAGAGCTGATGAAGTGGTAAGACACTCGAGATGAAAAAAAAATACTTAGTCAGATTATGTTTTATAATCATTATGTGTCCAAGTTACAACTTACACATCCATAATCACTCTCTTAGCTGCTGCAGATGGGAATATATAACACAAAACATAATAAAAGCATTAAATACATTTTTATGCCCCCACAATGTGGGAGCATATAGCGTTGCACTTGTCCGTCCGTCCATACGTCCCGAAATCTTGTGAACGCAACTCCTCTTAAACCGGATGGCAGATTTTGCTTAAACTTACATGGATGAACAACCTTAATGTGTAGATGGTAGTAAAGGAAGGAATTTTTGCTGCGACCAAATTTAACAGAATTATGGCCCTTTGTTGATTTTTTCACTAGATACTATGTAGAAAGTTTGTGAACGCAACTCCTCTTAAACCGGATGGCAGATTTTGCTTAAACTTACAGGGATGAACAACCTTAATGTGTAGATGGCAGTAAAGGGAGGAATTTTCGCTGCGACCAAATTTAACAGAATAATGGCCCTTTGTTGATTTTTTCACTATATACTGTGTAGAAATTTTATGAATGCAACTCCTCTTAAACCGGATGGCAGATTTTGCTTAAACTTCCAGGGATGAACAACCTTAATGTGTAGATCGTAGTAAAGGAAGGAATTTTTGCTGCAACCAAATTTTACATAATTTGACGCACCATTGTTAGTAATTATTCGTTTAGAAAGCTATATAAGTAACGAGTAGTTTCGTGTAGATGGTATATGCAATACGTGACTATGATATTGAATTTACAGGTCTAACACTAAAAATAATGTATTTTTTACCGTCTGCAGCTTCAAGAATATCCATGGCTTCTTCAAAAGTGATTTGGTCATCTTTTTCATTGACTGCTGCTATAGTGTTGTTTTCCTTCTGTAAAATCTCCTTCTCTAACATACTTGCTTTGAAACACGAATCTTTTGCCGTTCTTTCAAAAACTGGTCCAGTTAGTCGTTCAACTTTTTTCAGTGTTTTTTGGTGAATTCCAGGAATACCCAAAATGTTTAAAAATCCATTAACATGTGTTGCACCAATGCCTGTGTGTATCATACATATACACAGAAGATACATGACAAATCACAACGTGTTTGCATAAACTTTCAAGGTGCTTAATAGCATTTTTATAACCGTCAGTGCATACCAGTTTGTAAAGAAAGCATTTGTAAGTGATATGAAAGTTGTGTCTTAATTTTATATATTATATTAATGGATCTCTCTCTACTTAATAAAAGTGACATTTACGAAGGACGCTTTATGTCAAATTTCAGGAATCTATGAAATATGAAAAACAAGATCAACAAGGAAAGGCGGCGTTCAATGAACGCAACCCCCATATGACCCAGCAACAAGAACCAATGGCAATGAGCCCAGGCGGACCCCAAACATAAAAAGGACAGGGCAACGACACGTTAATCATTAAATGATAAATAATTTGTAACTGATTAGGAATTCAAAGAAAATAATAATAGGCCCACAAAGGGGAAGGGGACAGGAGACCCGGGGGGGGGGGGGGGGGTTAATCAAAGAAATAAAAACTAGAGGCAATGGGGAAGATCCTTACCGTAGACAAGAAAACAACCACGGACACAAGCAAAAGTGTCACCAAAAACAGCATAAAACAACATAGACATACATCTGAGGAACACAGTGGGGCGCGCCTTGGAACGGTCAGCAGCATAATAATGACTACTGGGGAGTTTAAACCGGTTAATGGTGCACCAAACCTCGCTCTTAGCCCCACCA